TGCTTGTGGGGCAAAAGTAATGAACACATTATCAATACCAGCAATGAAAATGAACAGACCAAAACCATTCCCAATGAAAACTTAGTGGAACAAAGGAAATGAAAAGAGCACTTTGATTTCATCCTGAGGTAAAAAACCTGGTTGCACAGTTTTGGTCCTTCAGTCCCCTTCAGAAATGAAAATATCTCCTTTCTTGTGGTTTGTTGCCATTTGTACCTGTGACTTTGAATTCATTGTAATACATTCATTTCAATGGTTAGTAGGTCACTGAATAGGTCAGTATTGGTTTTAAACCCATTGCCTTTTAATGAACTATGCCAATGATTGTTGGGATGGTTAAAAAGGTAATGTTTGGTAATGTTCCTGATAAACATAAAACCTAATGTTTTGGTAGTGTTTGGTAAGGACTAAAATACTGTGGCTGTAAATGAAAGGGCCATACATACATGTTATGTAGACATTCCTGTTTGTATGTTGGTTTGGTGTAGTAGTTTGGTGTAGTGGTTAAACCAGCTTGGTGTAGTGCTTAAGTGTGTGGACTCTAATCTGGGAGAATCAGGTTTGATTCCCCACTCCTCCACTTGCAGCTGTTGGATGACCTTGGGCAAGCCATAGTTCTGTCAGAGCTGTCCTTGAAAGAGCAGTTCTTGAAAGAGCTCTCTCAGCCCCACCTGTGTCCTTTGTGTCTGTTGTCCACTTAATTGCCTGTTATTCTTCAGAAATAGAACTCACAATACAAATGGGCAACATCACAGGGAGGCCTTGGCCTATGAGTCCTTTTTGTTGGCCCCCAAAAGCAATTGCCCATTCTATGAAACAGGATGCTGGACCACTGGTCTGATCTAGCAGGGTGGTTGTTATGTTTCTGTGTTTTTATGACTGTGCACACACAAAACTGAGCTTTGAAAGGTCACCCCCCCTCCCCATCTAGCTGGATCCTCAACTGATTCTTTCTCCCAATCCAAACTTGTAAAGGAATTCGTTATGAGAGCTTTCAAAATGGGAAGTGTGCATGTGAGCTCTGAATACAACCCATTTGGGGAGTTGAAGCAGCTTAAAAGACAGCTTGGAGGTTGTGTTGAGCCAATTTCTGAAACAACTCTACACAAACACACAAAAATATCTTTGTATTACAGCAAACTATTTTGAATGCTGTGCTTATTTTATTTGCTAATGTGACACCAAGTTTGTGTTATATTTTAGTAACCATAGACTGAAAAATGTTTATAACTATCTAGATATCACCTGTTTGACTAGCAGGCCATGGGGGGGGAATGTCCTGATGCTCAGAGGTTGACAATGTTGGGGGAAATCAGCAGGCAACATAAAATGAACGAAGATGAGGACAGCTCTCATTAAAGAAAAAATATATGAGCTGCTCATTCCTCCAAAAGAATGCTTAAGAAGCATGTAATTATTGTTTGGGACCTTTTTCATGTGCACAGTCATGGCAGATGTCATAGATCAGGGGTGTCGAACTCATTTGTCATGAGGAATGAATCTGGCATAAATGAGACTTTGTTGGGCTGGGCCATGTGTGTCATAAAATGTAATGCCAGGTATAAAGGACACAAACACAAAGGGGTTGGGGTTTTTTTTACTTAAAACCATGCTTAAAATATTAGCACTCTTGCAATATTTTGTTTAATTAACAGTGCCTGATAACTGATACCTCTTGCTACGAATTATTGCATCAAAATGTCTGTGCTGTTGCAATCTTGAGCATGCTGTTCAGGTGTGTATCTGTAAGCTGCAAACCTACGATGATGCAGCGGAAGCAGCAGAAGAAGCAAAAGACAGCCAGTTCCACTGTGGGCCTGATAGAAGCCCTCCAGGGGCCAGATCCGGCCCCCAGGTTGCAAGTTTGACACCCCTGTCATAGATAGTCTCCCCAGTGTGTAGTTCAGACTCAAAAAGTATTCACAGGGCTTCCCAATATGAATTAGGTGTTCAGTTTTGTAGGAGAGGGGAGGGGAGGGTTAACATTTCACCCTGCATTCTTCCTTGATTGGAACTGGTGTGCAGGCTGGTATTAATCCCATAAGGTAAAAAAGACAAAACACATGCACTGTTTTGTCTTTTATCTCT